GGGGCTGCCTGGTGTGTGGATTTGCTCATCTGTCCACTCCATGAATTGGTTTCTATTGTTTGATTTGGGGCCTTTGTCCCGGATGAATTGGTACCCTGCGCTGCGGGCTGCACTGTCCATAGTTTGTTTCTTGGGGAACTTTGGTTGAACTACCCAATGCCGAATCTGCCTGCCACCCATGAGGTCAAGCATATAGTTCATAGCCAATAGACCCACCCTGAAATGCCGCCCATAGTCCCACCTGTGCGCTACTGTGCACGCATCCATACACATTTTCACTGGCTTTGTGCAGGTAGATGTGCTTGATGATATTGACATACTGTGCTTCAGGGTCTCCATTCTCAGGGGTCGTGGTGGGGACAATGATGATTTGCATCAAGTACGGTACCGGCAGTTCACTTTTCAAACAAAAGGGTGCTGTGGTCGGTTTTTATAGTCACCTTGAGCACAATGTTTGTAGATCACCTTCTCAAACACATCCTCTGCACCCGGGAGTCTGTGGTCAAAGATCACATCAAAGAACTGTTCGAGTTTAGTCCCTTCTGCTTCTAAGATGCGCAAGGGTAGATCTCCCACCTCAACCTCACCAATCTCCCTGGATGTTTTGATAGGTTTGGTCTCTGGCCCTTGAAGTTTGTTTCCTGCAATGTGTGCCACTGCCTCATCGAGGGTGATGACTCCATCCTAAGATGGCTAAAAATACAATATTATACTTGAAAAAACTTATATGACCCTATAGTGATTATACCAAAGTTTTGCCATACATTCATCTAAAGAAAATTTACCCTGGTCACACCCAATTGTCTTGCCAAACTCTCGCCTTCTATTTCTGCCATCACGAGAGGGCCAGACTCAAAGGCAACTGGACACTATATAGATGCTGATAAGCCACAAAACTATACATGTCAAATGACTTAATGGAATTCTGAAAATAGCAAAAAAGTGCACCCTCACAGCCTGCCACTCTCAAAAAAAAATGGCCTGCTGCTCCCAGATTTGCCTGCGCTGCTTCCAGCTGCTGGCAGGCCTCCAAACATGGAGGGTGCCCAAACCAAGCGCAGCCTCCGTGCCCTTGCCACCGCGCAACCACGCCGCGTACTGGTGTCGGTGATAGCCACTGACCTCCACATCTGTTCCCTCCTCTTTTGTGCTCCCACCAAAGATGCCACGGCAGCGAAACCTGCACATCAAGGTCTGCATGGTTCCGGTCACAATCTGCTCCGGACAGCTTCTCCACAATGGGTGTGTTGTCCTGGAAAGGAGGCTACTTCTCCTGTCTTGAGCCCTCTGCACGTTGCCCCACAAATACAATTCTGTAATGAAATTTGCAAAAATAGACTGCAAAAACATGCATTTCATAAGTCCGCTAAGTCTGAACCATGTTCTTTTCAGCTATACTTGTAAATCTATATAAGTTCCAACATACTTATACTTACTGTAAGTCCGCTAACCGATGTTACAAGTATGTTAAGTCTAAACAAATGACTTACTGTTAGAGTACTTGCAACATCTGTTTTGGTACTTGTGAGTTTACTTATAAGTAGGGCAGCCTCCTCGTATGTACACATGACTGTCAATAGCAAGGAAAATTATCCTTAGACAGCCTCGCTGTGATGTGAGCACTTGGCCATACACATGACAGATGATGTTTCTCATTCGATGTCGTGGTTAGTTGAAACACACACACATATGGGTCAATGTCAAGACATATTTTTACATAAATATACGTTTTGTTTTTAAAACAGAGCCTGTGAATACAGATGAAAAATATATATACCCAGTAGCGGCGGAACTGATTTATGGTGATTTGGGACATTGCGAAGGTCATGTTTGGGAGACGGAGATGTTTCACAAGCCGAACCATGTCACTCTTCGTGGCAATAGCTGTGTGATGGATGGCATGAAGAAAAACCTGGCAGGAGTGAGAGTTGCGGTGGTCCATGCAGTTGAACACGTAGCGTAATTTCGTGTTTGACCTCTTCCAGGCTGTCTGATGGCGCGCCCGTCAGGCCCGTAGGCCCTGTTCATTCCATGAGTCCTGTCAGCACGGGCCCGTCGAGCTGGGACTTGTGTAGCGGACCATTCTCATTTTGTGCGGCGCAAAATTCAGAGCGGCCCGCAGTTTGAGTGGGTCGATGGTTGATGATTTGAGTGCCAAAGTAGTTATCCAAGGTGAAGCGCTAAAGCTGCTGGGCACATTTGTTTCTTCATTTTGCAGCCAGGGCCACGAATACAGCCAGCTTTGGTCACCCAAGGGCGAAGCATTGTGCTGGTTTTCACACCGACTTAAGCTGATTTGTAATGTGATTCAGGCTGCGGTTTTTCAAGTGCATGCGCCCCAAAAAATGTCAACTACCAAGCGTGAGGCCCGAAGTGCTCCACGGCTGTAGGCAGCCTGGATGAAGAAATCAGGCAAGCTAACACGAGGAGGCACTGCCAAAAATTACTTTAAAATGAGCCGCTGAGATCTAGAGAGTTTTTGGGTTTGGGGCCGTTGACATCCGTTGACCTCTTGGGCCAGCCAAAGCTGGATTGTTTCTTCCAGCCCAATTTCTGGTGCAAGCCGTCAACATGAAAAATATTGTGGTCAAACGGTAAGATCTGTAAGAGTGTTTTCCTGAGTGTGAGCCAAGGGTGTCCCAGTGTCCCACCAAAATGTTCCAAAAAAATGCACCATGTTAAGGCAAAATGTCTCCCAAAAGTGTCCTATAGAAGTCTGACGCTAGAGCTACGGTGTTCCACCAGTTTTGCACGAGAGTGTCCCAGCGAGCGCAACATAGTTGGCCAGCCGCGGGCTCCTACTGCATTCCTACTGCTACCCTCGCAAAAAGGCAGTCAGGTGGCTGGCTGAAGGCACGGCCAATATGAACGCGATACCTTCGGCTGGTTTATTTCGTCAACCTACGGGTTGGTCGGGAGTTAAGCTTTTTCAAGAAGTTAAGGTCCAACCCAGTTTTCATAGCATCAATTACAACTAATCAGCTTCAAATGGTTTCAAATTTTTAAGTATTTTTGAAACATCTTAACATGTGAAAATATATCCGTTCCTCTGTCTACCCCTCCCCATCGGCCGCATTTAGTGCTGTGATAGGCCCACTGGGCAACCTGTTCCATTGTATTTGGGAATATTCCCACTTCCCAAGTGAAATTCTCATTGTACCTGGTAGTAAAGATTTGATGGCTATTGAATTGGCCAATTGGAGAGCGCAAACACCTAGAATGATTTCAGAACAGCAAGCACACTGCTATTTGTAGCCTCCAGGGCCTAAACATTTGACTTCAGCTTGAATATTTTGATTCCAGCTTAATTCGTCGGAGTTCGTCGGAGGGCAGCTTTGGGCTGTTTTCAGCCAATTTCTTTACGTCAAAATTCAGAGGCGCAAGTGCAATTTTCATTAGAAAATGCACCAAACTTGCTTGTTCAGAGCTATTTTCAGGTGGTTTTGGCCACACCAACAGCCAATTATCACGAGCAAAAACTTGAAAAACACAAGAATTTAAGAGTTTTAAGGCCAAGTTCGTCGGAGTTCGTCGGAACTCCACTTTAAGCCCGACTTAGATAGGACTCAGACTCCTCTGATTTAAATATATTTGATAGGTAGTAATCTAGGGAAGTTTGCATGGAAGTCTTGGAAGACCTTTACAAATTGAAATTCTGTCTTGAGAGTATTGTAATGAGTCCCTCCGTCCAGAGCAAACATATGGCCTCGAAGGATCTGGCTTTTACTGCTCACTCAATCCAGAACATTTAGTGGCAGACCACGTTTGACTCACCTGGATGGATCCTTTCCTGTAGGATACCCGTAAATTGTAAAGTTTTAAGTATTTCCAAACGGAAATTGATGTCCAGCTCCCCAAAAGCCTTATTTCCATCACGCAAATGTGGTCCACTGCTTAAAGTTCTGAAAACCCTTAAGTTCCGACGAACCTAGATTTGACGAAATTAATCACCTTCGGCTGACGAAGGCAACTCAATTGTGTCCAGTAGTGTGTCCAGTGATTCCAGTTGCTGGGAAACCCGAAGTTAATGTATGAAGCAGTCATCCAGTTCGAGCGAGGACTGAGCCAGAGGTGTCCTATTCTGGGCAAGTGGTGAGCGCTCGACATCACAGAGTTGTTCCAAGCTTTCATCGACGCTGAGGGAGGTTCCAGAGCTCCAAGGCTTCAGAATTCCCTGGATTTGATTTCCCGGTTTCATTCTCTTTCTGAGCGCCGGGGACGAGCAACACACTTCACCCCAGTAGAGAATGACACCAAAAAGAAAAGGAGCAAGTGCGGGTCCCGTGTTGGCATGAACCTGCAGGCGTCTGAGCCGCAGCTGTTTTGCAATAGCATATCATCCAAGCAAATGTTCGATTTAACACCCACTAACCAAGCCCCCATTCAAGCATTTTGAGGCAGGCTCCTCATACACCCCCCGATGAAGCACAATTTGGCTTTCGTTCGCACAGTCCGTAAAAGACGAAGCCAGTGATTGCTATTGTTCCAAAAGAATCCTTCTCAACAACCTACTACTCGTAGCAGGGTGCCCTGCTGGTACGTGGCAATGCCCTTCTGCATGTGTTTGTTGCTAGCATGTTGGAATCGCCTGCTTTGTAGCCAGCCAGGTGTCCAATCGTAAACGCTGTGATCAAGTCAACGGTTGCCTTGCTTCCGGCTTGCCATTTGCATGGCTCTAGCGTTTGGGATGATGATGTTCACGCGAGGGGCTTTGACTCGGCGGCGCTTCCATTGGGAAGCCCAACGGCGCTTCCCAACATGTTTAAAGGACCTGACATTTTGCAGAGTGACTATATATAGTGTGTGATTCAGGTTTCACAGTGGTTGGCACGAGGTACGCTCAGGCTAACCCTATCTAAATCTATCTAACCATATTTTTCGATGAGGGCAGTGACACCGCTTTGGACATGTGAGGGTGCACTTTGCAGTGGTTTAATCAGTTGGACTTTGATTCTTGTCCGTTCCTTCTTCGAGGAGCTAAAAAGACAACAGTCAATGACATGTGCGGTTTACCAACGTTGCGGAGCACTTTGGTGACTGAGCATGCGGGCCATGCCGGCACCTCAAGTAAATTTGGGCACGGATGGGACCTTGTGTGTAGCAGGATCGCTCTGTTTTTGAGGCCGATTCAGAATTTGATGACTGCGAACTTCTTGGCCAAGGGGCTTATGGCATGGTACATAAGGTGCAAGACAAGGTGCCGCAGCCGTTGTCCGGCGTTGTTTCCATGACTTGCAGCATACGTGTTGCTTCGCAGGCCACCGGGCAAAGCAAAGTTCTCAAGTCCGTTGTGCGGCCGGAAGGGTGGGATGATGAACGCCTCAAGCTAGAGGCGCTGCAACGAACGAAATGCCGGATGAATCACTCAAGATCAATCAAAAAAGTTTTTGACATTCCAGCCTCATCTCAATTTGCAGGCCCGGATTTTGCAAAACTTGGACCATCCGCACATCCTTCGCATCTTTTCCTGGTACGAAGAGGGGGACTCCATCAACATCGTCTTTGCCTCACAAGTTTTTCAGAATCTGTTTGGGATGGTGTAGGATGAGTTCCTTTGTTGTGGCTGGAGGTGTTTGGTTTGTTTGGTTTGTTTGAGCGATCCTTTTTGGCGGCCACCCTTTCTTTGATCAAAAAATAGATCAAAATGGTTCCCTGAACGCTCAGGTCATGGAGCATTGTGATGGTGGAGAGTTGCTAAAGGCCCCACGACCTTGTAGTAGCGTCCTTGCTCCTAGTAGCATTTCGTCCGCTCTTCACAACAGATTTGCATAGCGAAGGTTGTGAGAGAAGGGCGCCGACAAGGTGATGCCTTACCAGAACGATGGGCAGCTCCGCACTCAAAGCTGTTAGGGAGGCTGAAGTGAACATGAGAGTAAGATTGCATAAAATTACTAGACAGGCAATTATTGTGTTCTTGCCCCAATCATTCGTAACCTTGACAACATCTGCTAACTCTGCTTCCTGAGTCTTGCAGCTCCGTGCAAGGCTGCGAGCATCCGTCAAAGCTTTCAAGCATTGGCAATTTGCTCGGTATTAGAGCTGGTACCAGGTCAGTTCCATCTAAACACAAGACAAGTGCCGCTTATGTGCTTGAGGTGTACATTCACTCCAAAGGTGTTGTCCACAAAGACCTGAAAGGGCAAAATTTGCTCCTTTTACATGACACGTGTGGCCCCCAGCACTTTTGTTGAGCCATTTTCAGCACGACCATCATGACAACGCCTAGGCGAGAAAGTGGAAATGTTTTTGCTCGCCTCCCTCATGTTGTCATTTGTGATCTCGGCATAGCTGAAATTTGCTGCCGTGGTATTTTCGGCCAGGAGCTTAAAAACAGCTGCACCTTGAGCATGGTGAACTTCACAAGACTCACTACCTCTCGAGAGTTTGCCACAACTATTTCAACATCGCAATCTTTGAGCCTGTATATATTTCCCTTGAAGTTGATACTCTCTCTCTCTATATATATATAACTAAATATATATATATACTAGTTCCTTCAGCAGTGTCATGCGCCACAAGCTCGGCAAGAAATGTCAAGAACATTTTGGGGCAGATGGTGCGCATGCCACACCAGCATAAGAAGGCTTTGATGCCTCCAACAGTTTGAATTTAGTTCTTCAGGCCTTCGCGGCAGCAAGGTGTGGCGGTCAAGAAATGTATATTTGCTAAAGACACATCTTGGAAGAGGACAGCATTTTGCAGGTAGCAGGGACTCCTGCGACAATGGCGCCTGAGGCCGCTAGAACTCAGTTCTCAGGCAGTTCGACTCAACTGTAGACCCTCACGGTGCAGGTTTGGTCAGGCAGCTGCGGGCCCAAAAGCTGGGCACCTGGAGGACTAACTATGCCATGCTTATATAGGTATCAAAAATATATACTTAATTGAAGGAAGATACAGAAGATAGGGGATGATAAGGTATTAAACCCCGCCTAAAGGGGATTAAAGAGGTCCTAACCTGCCTTTGTTCATCTCATTTTCTTCCTGCATTTTCGTCCGATGTTATCGTACGGTATTAGATCCAGCAGAAGACTAAGCCCAGACACCATCTTGCAAGAAATGTTTTTTGCTTTGCGCATGATAGTTTCCAAACCCGTTTGTCTCAGGTGATGTTTGGAGCATGGGGTGCGTCATGTTTGAGATGTTCACGAACAAGCTTCCGTTTGAAGTGCGAGGGAATGCTGGGCGCTGAGTCTAATTATATACTGTATTTTGGACTGCGGGATCTTGTGATTCTGGAATGTCTGCCAGCACCTCCCGAGGTAGAGGGCGCTGCCAAGCAGCAGGTCGGCATTTCATGATGTTTGATTTGATGCATTTTGCACTTCGTATCATTTGTGCTTTTGGCCCGGTGAATTGGTGTTAGGGATGCGGGTCCAAAAGCCAGGCCAAATGGGTCGAGCTCCACAGCAAAGGGCCAAACTGGGACATATTGCGATGCAGCGGGGACGTCAGTCCACATTTGTTTGTCTTCATGGTCACTTTATCAAAGTGTTTGATTTGCCCAAGTGCCGTTTTCAAGGTCGTGATGCTAAGTCGCTGTGCAAACAGCTGCTGACGTTTCGTGAGAGTGCTGGGCCCTTGCTTATGGTGCTCGTGTTCATTCTTTGTTTACTGAACTCCAGTTCAATCACATGCTGATATATGCTGCATGCTGCATATGCTTTTCTGAGGCTAGACCCTCCGCAGCAGAAAGTTTGCAGCATCCATGGTTGAAAATGCAACAAGCTGAAGCCCCTCGTTTGCACACTTGCATTAGCAAAAGTACAGCACAGAGTTCCTCAACTGTTTGTTGTGATTTCACTTTTCCCGCAGGAAGTGACCTCAGAAGACTTCCAGAAGCTTTGCTCTGCAGTGCTGACGTGGAGAGACCGCTCACCTTGTCAGCGAGCCTTCTGCCTCAAGGCCCGAGATCATCTACCGCCTTATAGAAAGGGCTAACGCCTGACTGGTCAGTTAAGAGCGGCTGGGCAAAGGTGCAGGTTCCATCCTGCGGTGTCCCAGACGCCGTTCGGCTATTTGCATGATTTGCATGGTGGTATGACGTGGTAAATGTGGAAGCCATCGCTAGTAGGTTGGAGGCCATCGCTATTGGCAACTCAAAAGAATACTGTATGTTTTTCTTTCAAACATTCTTAGGAGCAAGGACGCTACTAGGGGCTCCTGGCCGTAGGGCTACTAGGAACAAGAAGCTACTAGGGGCTCCTGGCATCGCTACTAGGAGCAAAATGGATCTGCATTGACATGTCTCGAAGATTCCCCGACCCTGGAGGTGGCGGCAAACTGCACCTGCATTGACAAGTTCGCAAAGCTGTTTATCAAGTTCGACACAGACAACAGCGGCGTTTTGGACACTCCGGAGCTAATGCCCCAAACTTAGAGCCAGAGGAATCTTATGAACAACCCCAATGTCACTCCATAATGTAGAGTGGACACATGGATGCAGTTGCTGATGTTTGTGCAGTTGCTTTCTTGCAGCAAGGCCAGTTGTCGTATTTTTGGCCGGGCCCAGCCTATTATTGCCATCCTATCGAGGTCAGCTTTGGTTTCGGTAGGCATCTCCAAAGAGCTTGCCAAGAAGACCGCCAAAGCGTTGGATGTGAACGGGGACAACTCCTGCGAGTATCTTGAGTTTACGGCTGCGTGTTTGTTGTCGATGGAGGATCGGAGGGCTGCCGTTTTTGCACCCATCATGTTCGCATATTCAAGTGGCTGCGAAGTTGTGACACACACACACACAGGACGAGTTTGATGAACTTCTACGTCAGGAATTTCGTGTCCTTGATGTGAAGAGGCAATTATATAGCTGTTTCAAGGCTTTGGTTCACCCGCGAACGAAATCTTTTGAAGGGCTGGGGCTCTGACTGCCAAAGAGATGGAGCCCCTCATCGCGGAGTTGAAGGTGCTTGTTTGTCTCTCAGCCTCTCAAATGGAGCTGTTGAGTCTTTCAAGATTTCCACTTTGAGTGCATCCACTGAGGCAGCTGCTCGCGGATTTGAGCTGGAGGACATTGACACAGATGGAGATGGCCACATCGACTTCCAGGCAGGGCCGCAATTTGAACCCACCACAAGGCCGTCAGGATCCCATTAGACAAAGCCACGTCATTGCAGGAGTTCTGTACTTACTTCGGGCGACCGAACGTGACCTATTCGCGCACATTGGCGCAAGCCAATGACAGTGCAAAGTTGAATGGTGGAAGCATGAAAATGCCCATGAAGCAGCATGTGCGGATCGTTGGTGGTCATGGCAGAAGTGCCCGGCGCTGAGAAGCAATTGTGCTTGCTTGGCGTGCAGCATGAACTCTACTGTTTGATTTTGGTTCTGCTGGCCTTACCTCACTAGGTCGAGATGAGCATGGATCAAATTCGGAAAAGTCATCGCCTCAGATGCTAATGTAGGGCTTGTGATGAGCTCTAGCCTCGCAGCCAAGACTGTAGCCAAGGCATGGGAATGCAACAGCCAGCTCCAAAGAAGGGCGAACCGATGACTCAAGCCACGGTGCGCCACCGGAAAGCTAAGCTAGCAATTTGCGGGCAAACATTTATCGCGAAAACGAGTAAACTGCTCGCAAAAAGTCAAAAAGTAAAATAGTTTTTGTTTTCGACTTTTCGAAACACATTTCATTTTTAGACTTTTCGGGAAAAGTTTTACTTTTTGTTTCAAGTCTTCGGGACTACCACAAGGAGAAATCTTTTCCCAAAAAGTCAAAAAGTTTGCCTTTTCGACTTTTCGAGAAAAGTCGGACTTTTCGACTTTTCGAGAACATCGACTTCTTGATTATTTGAAACAATATATTGCGCAAGTTCATTGTCATGTTCGGCTTATTTCTTATTAGAGCTAGCTTTCACCGCGAACGCTCAAGAGACAAATGGATCGTGTTGTTCGATGAGCAGTTCACGCACTCTTGAAATAGGCAAAAGACATCACGCCCCAGACATTGATGAACCAGCCAGAAGGGGTTCATTGATCCCAATACCAGACAAATCAATCCAAATGCCTACATACCAAACAGTCCGGAAGCCTTATACTCAAAAAGAAATGATTTGAATTAATTCTTAAGTTTTGTATCAGCTATAAATTTAAGTTTTGGACTATCGAACACGTTTCGACTCTTCAATACTCTTCAACTTCTCGCAAGAAGTCTGGCCTTTCGACCTTTCCGACTTTTCGATTCAGTTTTGGATGTTTTCCTGAAATGCTAAAAGTATTATGTTTTTTTTTTTTCGATTTTCTATTCTGAGAGTTAGCATCTCGTGATGACACCTTCTCTCATATAGGGTCCCCCTGTGGTTTTAGCCCATTTCATACTAACATCTATATCATATGAAAAGGTGCCATCACGAGCCTAATAGAAAAACAAAACAACACAACAAAAAACATAACAACAAACCAACAACAACAAAAACAAAACAAAGGACAACAATACAAACAAATTCAAAGAACTCAACACATACTTTATAAACTATATTTTATATTATATAAATTATGTTCTAATCACATGGCTCTCTCTTTACAATCAATATGGCTTGATGATGCTATGTGAGAGCCCCACATACATTGAAGCATACTACCTTTACAGTCATAACAATCATACTATACCTTGCCCCATTTACCAGGTGTTATTTCATTTGGTTTATCTACATCTTCACCTGCTTCATACATCTCTAAAAGGTGTTGATGTCCCACTGAGTTTTCATATTGTTTGAACTTGCATTTCTCACTTTTGCGGTGTTGTTTTTTGGGTTTTATTTGCTTCATCACGGTCTTCATTACAAGTTTTGTTTTCATTTCTGAATTCAGCAGTTGTTTTTTCCTTATCACACATACTCCATCTCTTTTCATCTCCATCTCTTTTCCGATACTATCTAAGATGACATCTCTTTAAATATGCCTCTCTAAAAGTAATGCATTTTAGACTTTAAGCAACTCATTGCGAAGCAATGGTCTTGGGCAATCGAATAATGTATAATTAATAGGTTTGTCCCAGTTTTGATTTATTGCCTCTACCGTGTGTTCACCTTTTAGACAGTGTGAAGTGCGTTCTTTTTCTGTAATTGCTTTCTTTCTCTCAATCTGTACTTTTTCACCTACCTCTAATTCAGGATACAATCTTTTCTTCTTTGCTTTCATTGATACATTTAATTTTGATGTAAGTTCATTGTCTTTTTCCTTGCTTCGTTTGGTGTGTGTCATTCCAGTTGCTGAATGGACATCTTTATTGTTTTAAGCACTCATTATATAGTTCAAATCTATAGCCAGTCCATTGGATGTTTCGCTTTCCTTTTTTTTCATCGTATCTACCCTCTTGAAAAGTTTATCTTTAAAAATTCTGATAAAACGCTCAGCAAAAGCAGGGTGCCCTCTTGTTCTATATAGCTCAATGCCTTCACCTTCAATGTATGCTTTGAAATCAGAACTTGCTATGGCTCTCTCATCATTTGTATAAATGACTTGTGGTTTTGCTCTCATGTTTTTGAGACCTTCCATTGTTCCAGCCATTGCATCAGGCAGGGTTTTGCTTTTTATTGGCACTACTACCGCATACTGCATACTTGCTTAAAACATCTATAATAACCAGCCCTGCTCTAAATTTGTGTTTTGCTTCAATATCTTCTGAAAAAACAAAAATATCAAGTTGATAAGTATGATTATGCGGAGCCACAAAGACATTAAAGCCCCTAGGCTTCTTCTTCACTTCAACAGTCTTGCTAAAAAAAACTCTTCTACATCTGCCATAGTTACTCCGCAGGGAAAATTGATGAGGTGACTTTTTTTATTGCGCCAGGTTTAGGTATCAGGGGCATTCAGGTGTGTTGCGCCATCTATGCGCCCCGTGGCTAAAAATACAGGAAGATTCTGCATGATTTTGCGCGCTATTTTGCAGAAAATAGCGGAGATTGGGACCGCTCCATCTATTGCCCCACCGCAAAAGGACATCAAAAGGAAACGAATAAGTTCAAGAGGCAAGAGGACATCAAGAAGAAATATGAGGAAATCACTATTGGTACCGGGCCACACATTTTTGCTCAAAGGTCACGTGACCTCCACATCAAAGCAAGACAGCTTACTTTTACAGATTTTTACAGTACTTACTGTAACACTCTTCTTCACAGTATAGCCAGGTTGCAGCCGGCAGGCCAAATGTACAGAACTTGGCCATTGGGCCATCTATAGGCCCCAAACGTTTTGTGGGAAATAGGGAAAACTAGTATCCGCACAGACACCCCGCAGAATGTTAATTTTCTGCAATCCAAAGACCAGTTGCGCCATCTATGACGGCCAAATAGCGAGAAAAAGGAGTTACATGGCGCGGCTGTTCCCGCTATTTTTTTGGAGTTGCGCCAACAACTTTCTCCCCGGTGTATTGAATTGTCCTTTTTTAGCATCTTTCAAAGTAGTTGCTTTACTTCCATATCCACTTCTATCAAAATATGTATCATTAATAGCTTTTTGCTTTGATGCGATAATTATAATATATATGATAAAATGAACTATATATATCATGTATTTGCTACTACAATTACAATACTTACAGAACGCTACACAATTGCTCTTTGAATGGCATTGAGAATTACAAACACGCCGTGCTGTAAAGTCACTGCTTAGTCAACCTTTCCATACACCATTCAACATCAATATGTTCATCTTCATTTATTTCTCTATCTGCTTTCATATCTCGAAGTTTGTATCCTTCAATATTGTGTTCAAAATGTATTTTTATACATATTGAGTTTCATTTCCTTATCAACGTTTTTATTCAATTAACATGATCAGAGGGGCTTGCAAAAATGACTCTCACTTTTTTTTGACTCTCAG